AAACCCTGAACCCTCATGTTTCCCAGCCTGCAGCCAGTGTGGTAGTTTGCATAAATAGCGGGACTCCAATGTAGACCCCAAAATGCTCAAATCCTTATTTTGGGGGCGCCACAAAAAGAATCCCAAATTTTGGAAACCCTAATATGGGCGTACCCTTTGTTTTGAAAACCTTAGACCGTACAAGATGCCATCTGAGCTTGTGCGCAGGGACCGGACAAGGACCGGACAAAGCTTGCTGACGCGTCTTGCAGGGTGTCTTACATATACGGTTGATGGTTCTGGGTAGAGTGTTAGAAGGGAATAGCGGAATATACTAAACAGCACTCATATAGGGATTATAGTCCGTCGACTAACCATCAATAAGGTGTTGGTGTCAGTGTAGCGCTTGGGGTTGAGGCTTTGGTTCGTAGACTTTGGGACTATGGGGAAGCCATAGCCCATAGCGCAACTTCACTATGGGGGTTTCCCCAAATTAGGGGTGCCTTTTTGGGGTCCCTGTAATAAGTAACATGGTATATTGGGGTCTCTATTTGGGTCCCCCATTTAGGTTCGCCTGCAGAGGTCCTAGGCAACCTTCATAGGCAGATCCCTTCCTCAAGCGCTTTTGACTCAGGCACAGTCAGCAGTCGAACGAATGACTCGAAGTTTCATGCAGTCAAAAAACTTGTCAAAGCCTTGTTATGCCTTCGCTCCGCTGGCGATTTCACCACGTAGGGGGTGTTTCAAAATTAGGGGTACCTCCTTGGGATCCTTATGACGATATTAGGGTCCCCCTGTTTTGGGAAACTACCACATCTCTTCAACCTCGGCATGCGTGATCCTTGCGTTGTGATGTATGCAGATATGTTGGCAGGTTCACAGAGTTTGGTGCTCTGAATGTGTTCATTAGGCCCTAAACCCTAGACCCTAACTTTAGGGGCTTGTGTTTTAGAATCTGGCTTTGAACCCAATGGCAAGCCTGCCTGGAGCCCCTGACGGATGACCAGATGTAGAGCTGTTGCATGCTTATCAGATTCAGTGTTTAGGGTTCAAATTGCAAATTGACTTAAGGTCGGAAAAGTCCAAGTAATGACCCGGTAATATCCTATACTCTCTGATACTTGTCATGCTAGCAAACACTAGAGTTTCGCAATATGCCTACCAAAAACAACGGGCAAACTGGTATTGCAGCTCTGTTATAGCGTGGCTTACATTGCTATGAGGGCTGTCATTCATCCGAAATTGCAATCGCAGAGCCCCCCACTTGATGTGTGCGTAGCACCACTTATGTGGGGTAGCTCTTGCAAGGCCCTCTGTTTTCGCAGGTATAATACTTCAAGGCTCATGAGTCATTTCTAGCTATTGTCATCTGTGCGGTAACTTTTCATCCTGACCAAAAGTTTTGGTACTTCTAGAACGCCCTTAACCCTATACCCGCAAAAATTCCCCATAAAAGTTCATGCATGAGCTTGGAAGTAACATGCCACCAGCGAGCAATAGTCTAAACTCCCAGTATCCCCCTGAATAGGAACTATAATACTGCCAAATATGGTCCCCTATATCCTCCCCTTTAGGAAGTTTAGACAAAAGTGCAGTATTCAAAACGAATCGCAGGATGCCGTGGACCGGAAGCAGGCGTTATCTTGCCTCCGGCAGCTGGCCGTTGCGCTGCAGGAGATCAGTTCTTGGAGGTTCAGAGGGACTTAGTAAGTATACGGGATTACAGGGTTAGTATTGGGATAATGGAAAAGAAAATGGAAACTACTAGGGGTTATATAGTTTAATAAGGGGGATGGCTAGGTTTACTATGTGGGTTATAGGGCTTATTAACCGAATTTCTGAGCCCCCCTTGACCCTCCAAGTAGCCGGCTTTTCAGGCTCTCAAAATCGTGGGTCCCTCAGGTAGCTAGGTAAGGATCACAAATCGAAAGGTTAAGCTAGGACTACGGGGACGAGTCGTGTTGAAATCAGGGCGCGGGAGTTGAAGGCTTACAGCTTGCAAAGCTATTGGAAAGCCCTGAGGGTCCAAGGACCCAAATAATAGGGTTTTAGGGCCCAAATACCATAATATTAATGGTATTTGGGCCCTAAACCCCCATTATTTGGGTCCTTGGACCCTTAGGGAAGGTTTTGGTGGTTGGGGTTTGTCTCCTATTGCCTTGGGGGCTCGCGATGCGGCTCAGCAGCCACTGAGCCGAGAAGACCTTACAAGAACAGCTGGGTTCTTTCCTATATAGGGGGTTATATAGGGATAATGGAAAATACAATGGAAATTACTAATGGGTTGTATAGGGGGTTATATTGGGATAATGGAAAATAAAATGGAAACTACTATAATGGGCCTGGGGCAAGAACTGTGATGCTGCAGATTGCACTTGCACTCTGAGGACTTTCTCCTTGACATGTTCTGGTGCTTCGGGGATTTGAGGGGCCAGGTAATTTTATGTAGCAGGTAACTTCGGCCAATCAGCTCATCTCCTCAAAGCAAGCATACCATCGGCAGCCTTCTCCCGGCTGCACAAAATCTTCTTATCAACGCTGGTCAAGACCTGCAGATCCTAAACACTCCTCCAAAAGTATTTCCGCATTTTCAACACACCTCCGGGGGGGCCTCTCACCCTTGAAGCATTGGCCCCTATTCATTTTGATTGTCCCATAAAAAGTCTACAAGCCCATGTAGGGACCCATGCTTGGAACCTTGGATGAGGTACAGAGAGCTCCTAAACCCTGAACCCAAACCCTCCCAATCCTAACCCCGAATCTAGTTCTGCTAGGATAAAGGGCGCATACTGTGGGGCCCAATGGATTTTACGAAGCTCTTATGAGTTGTTTTTGTGTTGTTATGGTTTCTGGGATAGTGATAAACCCTGAGCCCTAGAAACCCTAACACCTTAAACCCTAAAGTCCTAAAACCCTAGACCCTCAACCCCCAAACCCTAAACCCTGAAACGCTAAACCCCAGACCCTAAACCCTAAAACCCTAAAACCCTGGAGCCCTCGGGTTGATACATCTAAGGACTTTAGGAGGGACCCCTAATACCTAGGGATATAGGGGTTACATAATGACTATATAAGGGTTATATATAGTAATGGGATTAAGGGTCCCTATTAGGGGTCCCTCCTAAAGTCCCTAGAAGGAAGCCAACCTTCCTGACATCCGCATAGCCCTGCGCATTTTTACCGCCAAGGCGCGGCAAGGGCTGGGCGGTATTCGCAAAGGGTTTGGGGCTTAGGGTTTGGGGGTCTTAGGGTTTAGGATTTCAGGATTTTAGGGTTTGGGGTCTAGGATTTAGATAGGTGCTTTAGGGTTTAGGGTTTAGGATTGTAGGGTTTGGGTTTTAGGGTCTAAGGATTAGATAGGATCCTAAGGCGGCCCCAAACGATTCCCTAGGTTGAAAGGCGCAAGTGACAGTTTCCATAAATAGACAAATGCCAACATGGATCCCCAAATACTTTGGTCCGTATATTTGGCACCCTTAGGAAGGTACCCCTGATTTTGACAATCCCCCAAAAATTCTTAATAAGCTCGAACAAGCCAGCATCTCCTGAACAATTGTCTATGGGGGGTTTTGGTCTGGTCCCTTGATCTGGGATTCCAATTTGGGGAGGACGATCTTATCATGTATTGCGTGTGGCCTGGCACATGAGGGCAGGGGTGTCAGAATTGCTGGCTTTAGTTCTGGTAGTTTGGGCTTACTTCAGGTGGGCCTGAATTTTTAGAAATACCGAAGCACATGCCGGTTACACTTTAAACTGAGGCAACATCCTTTATGGTCTTAGACTTTCCGATCAGGTTGCAAACATCATTTACGGCCCAGCCATGCAACGCCAAACCCTAAACCCCGTACCCAGCCCTTAGGACTCTACCAGGTTTGACACAAACAGGCACTCCAATATCCCATACTTGTGCCTCATTGTTTCTTATGGAAATTCCTGCCAACCCAAGGCCAGCTCCACAAGGCTATTTGGATTAACTATCCAAAATCCCAAGGGCCCCAATAATATAGTCAATTCAGCCTCGTAGTTCATGCCCTCTCGCAAACAGGTGCCGGTACTTCGGCCCCCTGTCTGCTGAGAACCCAAGACATGTTCACGGAGCGCAAGGGTCATAAGAAGGACCTTCAGTGTGAGGAACTCGCAGACGTTTCAGAAACCGTGTCCATGCGCTCTCCCTGAGCTCCTGTAAGCATTGCTTTCTATTCACAAAACTGCAACCACTGGGGTAATGGTCTGTTTTGTTGTTCCCTAATAAATCTTCAGGATAGTAAGCTCAGCTGGTTCAAAGCGAAAGGCGTCTGCCTGCCCACACTGCCCATACAATCCATGAGTGGGCCCAGAACGTCTGGCTGTCCCCAAATTATCCACTGGTTCCCCAAATTATCCACTGGTTTAGAGTTTTTTTTGGGCTTAGGGCGCCCTACTTTGAAAGACAAATGCCTGGGCGTCACATCTCCTCCAACCTTGCTTGGCTCTTGCAGTCATTCAGAACCGAAACTTGTGGAATTCTTTCTTTCAGGAAGCCCCTGCACACACCATGTTATAGACCATCCGCATAGCCGACGATATTGACATGAGTTGCGATGAATGAGGAATGATTTTAGTGGGTGGGGTTGTATAGTATTGGAGCAAAGGGATTACGGGTACCTTGCGAGACCCATGGGGTTGTTTTTGAGAAGCTGCCCCATGTGGATAGCCGTTTATAGGTCATAGGCAATGCTCTATGACGCATGTCCAAGTCTTCCATAGATTTCTAGGCTGCCTGTCGGCCTCCTCTAGCCCAGGGCTTACTAGAGACATGATAGCTGTGAGTGTTGTGGTTTGTGGGAAGCCAGATCTTTCAAACTACAAACCAGAATCAACCATAGCGGCTCTAAAAGCAGGGTTTTCTTGCAAGGGGCTCCCACCCTGCTGCGAGCCCAACAGCCTGAATGCAATAAATTGGCGCTGCTATGTCTGTGCAGTTGTCACACGAACCATGACACAAGATGCTTTGATTCTGCGTGCTTGAATAAGCTTCTGAGGCTGCATTGCGGCGCCAAGGGCGAGCGAAATACTGTCGTGGATGTATCAGTTGGCGGCAGCCTCCTGCGGGGTGCCTGTGACCGAAGCGTGTATGCTGTGCTGCTTGGCCAAGTAGATAGGTTCCAGAAATTGGTCAGGTTAGGTCAGGTTCCTAGTCTCTGCACCGCATGATGATGACGATGGTGATGAGTCACTGATGGGTGCCTACGCAAAAGCTGCTAAATGCGCCCCGAAAATTGGGCCCAAATGGCTGAGAGTTAAGAATGACAGCCATGGTAGGTGACGGTGTGCAAGTTTCTGAGTTTGCGAGGCTTCAGGAGCCTGCTGGTTGCTAGTCGGCAATGAAGGAACGGAAAAGAAAAATAGAAACCATCATTTCTTGGGGGGTTATAACCCTAAGCGTCCCAAGACCTCATATGGGATCCCAAGACCTTACTTTGGGCT